TGTCAGATTTGAGCCACGGATTGCCGACTCCATACGATCCCACGCAGAGAAATTATCAGCGGCCGGCCCAGGCCGCTTCTGGCCGAAAGCGGCCCAATGGCCGTTTTATCAAAGCCAGCTCCGATGGCCGTTTTATCAAGGCCAGCCCCAATGGCCACTTTATCAAGGGAGGCCCAATGGCCAGTTTATCAACGCCGGTTGGCCAATTTAAAGTAAAGATTTAGCTCTCGGAAAGCTACTTTGCTAGCTAAAACGCTTTGCGAACCAACGTTGGACTTGGAGCGACGCCGCCGGCAAACGTCTCCGGCTTTAGGGTATTACCTTTCTACTAACGTAGAAGTGGCGTGCTTGCCGGGCACGCTTCACCATGGAGCCTCGCTTTGCGGTATGGCTTAGGCCCTACTCTTTGGCGTCCGTTCCAGGCCCAGCGGGAGGCTTAACCCTCCCGCCCGCTTTGCTTCTACGTCAAGCGAACGCGTAAGGCCGCTCGCAGCTGAGCTGCTCGGGCGGCTGCCTGGTCTCGGCATCCACCGCTCGGGCTCTGCTTCAAGCGCTCCATCGAGCCCTCGCTAAGTTTAGGGTTTAGGGTTTAGGGTTTGCCCTCGGAAGCGGCGCGCCTCGACCCAGAGGGTCGCGGGGCGGCGCGCCGAGGCGGCTGCTTCAACCCACCCCAATACCGCCCAGAGACAAATCTTTTAGGGTTTAGGGTTTTAATTTGGAGCCCGGCAGGGCGAGTGATACGGGAAGCGCTTGATCGCGCGAAGACAACAAGCCCGCAGCGCAAACGCTTGAAATTCGCATCTTTATTCTGCGACGGCTTGAGCTCAAAGAGTCGCACGCGCCGGCCACGTTTCTTGGCCGATTCGCACCACTCCTAAGGAGACGTGGGCGTTTGCTTGTGACGCAGCTTCGCGCAGGCCGGCGAGGGGTCGACGGCTGGCTGTGGCGATTTCGCCGCGAGCAAGCGGCGGAGGATAGTTCAGGCGAAGGCTGCAGCGATTTAGTCGCTAGCGCTAGCCAAGTGCTGCAGCTGGAGCGAGCGTGAAAGTTGCAGCTGCACTGGCTTGAGCGCAATGTTTCACTGCGCTAGACTGGGCCGGTCGCGCGCGCTTGGCGCGGAGCTGCTCTGCTTGAGGCTCCCAAATGCCGGCAAGGGGCCGACGGCTGTAACGACTTTGAGCAAGCGTTGGGGCATAGTTGAGGCCAAGGCTGCAGCGATTTCAACGCTAGGATTTGCAGATACGTTCCCGCTTGAAGGCGCAGCTGCGACGGTTGGAGCCCGCGCTGGCCACGTCACTTGGTCGACGCGAGCTCCTTCGTAGAAAGGAGGCGGAGGATATTTCAGGCGAAGGCTGCAGCGATTTAATCGCTAGCGCTAGCCGAGCGCTGCAGCTGGAGCAAGTTGAGTCGCAGAAGCGTTTGCCGCGTGAAATTTGCAGCTGCGCTGGCTTGAGCCCAAAGCTTCACTGCGCTACACTGGGGCGGTCGCACGCGCTTCGGCTTCGCAAGCGGTCTTTGCGCGTGGAGCTGCTCTGCTTGAGGCAAAGGCCGGCAAGGGACCGACGGCTGTAACGACTTTGAGCAAGCGTTGGGCCATAGTTGAGGCCAAGGCTGCAGCGATTTCAACACGGTATTCGCTGGAAGGCGCAGCTTGGAGCCAAAAGCTTTGCTCTGGCAGTCGCGCGCGCTGGCCTTGGTCGACTCGCCGCGGGTTCCTTCGTAGAAAGAAGGCGACGCGGGGGCGATCTGCTTCGAAGGCGAGCAAGCGACAAGCCGTCGTCCGTTTGCTGGCTGCGTTGGAAGCGCAGCGCAAGGCGGGAGCGACGGATCAGTTAGGGGCCATCGTTCAGGGCGCGGCTTCTGCGATTTCGTCGCGAGCGTTGGGGGCCATAGCGCAGGCCGAAAGGGCAGACCCTTTGATGGTATCAAGGATGTTTGCCGAGTGGCAGCCGGATCTCCGGGCTACGGATGGCCAGATTCATATGACCCCGTATTCAGAATTTATCAGCGGCCGGGCCAAGCCATTTGCAGCCCCGACGGCCGCTTTGTGGAGGCCAACGCCCATCTCATCAAGGGTGTTGCCATTTTATCAAAGCCAATGGCCATTTTATCAACGCCAAAGGCCGTTTTATCAAAGCCAATGGCCATTTTATCAAGGCCAGTGGCTATTTTATCAAGGCCAATGGCCGTTTTATCAAGGCCGATGGCCGTTTTATCAAGGAGAGCTTTGACGCGGCCTCGAAGCCAGGTTAGGGTCTAGGACCTAGGTTTTAGGGTAATATAATATTGCTTCGCATATTATGTGCCTGCAGGCACGGGTCCCAAGAGAAGGGAGGCCCTTGGGGCAGCTGCATAGCTGCTGGCGCTTTATCGGCAATAGTTTGGAGCTATTGCCCGGGCGCTAAGCGCGCCGTGCGCTCACGACTCCATGTCGCTCTAAGCGAGCGGTAAGTCGTCGCGAGCTTTAAGTTTAGGGTGTGTTCAGTGCCACGGCAGCGCCTCCCCCCATGGAGTGGATGGGGAGGCGCGCCGTTCTGTATGGGGAAGCCCACCCCAGCCACCCAAACTTGCACCTTTTAGCGGGTTTAGGGTTTGCCCTCAGACGCCGGGCAGGCTTAAAATTCCGGCTCGCTCTTCGCGCAGTTTGGTTTTTTAAGGACGGAAGTTCGCAAGAGCGATCGCCTGAAAGAGGAAGCGGCGCGCTCGCGCTGGCTGCGCGGCGCGGCGGCGAAAATTATAATCGTTTTTTGGGAAACAAATCAATGGGGAACGCGTTTTTCGTTTCAGATGGCCGCACCGCGCTGCTTTTTTTAGCTTGTCCCCGCTCGCTTGCTGCGGCGTAGAAAATTAGCCGCCGGCTCCGCGGCGGGCCGTCGCCCCCCACGTTCTCATCTCATAGTCACGGGGGCGAAGTGCTGGGGCGTCAAGCGGCCGCCGAGCAAGTAGGAGCGTGCGTTCTTGACGCGGCTCATGGCCGTGTAGCCGACGGCGATATTGGGCGCATCGAGATAGACGATAATGAAGGGAAACTCGTCGCCCTGCACCTTGTGCACCGTAGTGCAATAGCCCAGCCGGACCGGGAAGTAGCAAACGCCCCAGTGGTCGGGGTCGTGCCAGGGCGTGATGGGCAGGCGTTTGCCCGTGTCCGTTTGGACCCACAGCACTTGGCGAGCCGCGTCAAAGCTCAGAACCTCGCAGCGCATGCCGTTGACGTAGTCATCGGCCTTGCGAACGTTGCGGGCCAGGCCGACGGCCATTTTATCAAGGCCAATAGCAACTTTATCAAAGCCAATGGCCGTTTTATGAAGCCAAGGCACTCTGTCCGAGAATACTTATACTAGTAGTGGCGCTGAGCTCGGGGGGCAAAGCTCCCCTCCGCGTGCTGGACGGCGGCAGGCAATGCCCCATCATAGAGTAAGCCCCCGTAAGCCCCCGATGGCAGGAGAGTTTGCCCCAGCATAGAGCAAGCTTTAGCCCCTGCTGGCAGACAACGCCCCATCATAGAGTAAGCCCTTTAAGCTAGTTCTGAGGCTTGCCTCATAACGTTTTATAGCATAAGGCGTATAGACATGTTATGCACATGTCGAGCTTCTTTTGCAGATCACTAAATTTTATGCATTTGTCAATGTCTCTCTCTTTTGCTACTCAGGCTCGAGGTGGGTGGGTGGGAACTCTCAAATTTTGAGAGCATGTCCCCATTTCTTTTTAAGAAGGGGGATTGAGGCGCGCTTGGGCCGTTGTGGCAGCTGGCGGCCTCAGGGTGCACCTGGGCTTTTAGCAGCTGGTGACCCGTGTTGTAGTACGACAGGAACGCCATGGTTTCTGAGACTGTGTTTGATGGTGCCTTGCTCAAATCTGGTGGCAACAAGAGAGAGCTGGAACAGAGCTGGGCATTACATATGAATGCTTGTGTGCGTAGCAACACGAAGTCTGCAAGGAGACAGCCGTGGGAATTGTTACCTTTTCTTTCGCCTGGTGCAGCTCTTCCTCAGAGAGAACCTCCTCGTGGTATGATTCCAGCTGTACCGAATGAAGAACATGCGGAACGTGAACTCGAGGAGGATGGCTTGACAACAGCCTTGCAGACTGCAGGGTATAAGGTAACAACAAGGCATGACATTCCTTGGATTCAAAAACTATCTGAGGAACGCAATGCAGCAGTCGTGAAGTGGATACGCATTATCGAACACAACCCTGGCATTTTTGGAGTTGCTCGCATGTTTGCTGCTTCAGAACGTTTGGGTGGGGGAGGCGATTTTGCCGAAACTCTTCTGAATGTTTTTGCTTTGAAGGCAAGCTCAACCTTGCATAGCAGGGCTGGGCCCATTTTGCGGTTCTTGAAGTTTTGCAAGGCGAAGGATTTGCAGGCCATGCCGTTTCTGGAACATCATGTCTATGCCTTTTTGGAACAACATGGCAAGGATGCTGCACCAACATTCGGACGCAGTTTTGTATGCTCGCTTGCTTTTTGCAAATATGTGCTTGATTGTGACAGCGCTGGTTCATGTATTTCGCCACGGATCACTGGTATTACAAGCAAGTTTTTCATGGAGAAGAGGAAGTTGAAACAGAAGCCGCCATTGTTGACAAAACATGTTTTGATGCTTGAGGAGATTGTGCTTGGCCAACATGGTGCTAGCCTACAGGACCGTCACGCTGCAGGTTTCTTTTGCTGGTGCATCTATGCGAGAGCAAGGTTCTCCGATGGACAAGCATCTGGTCTCATTCAGTTGGATGTACACACAACTGAATGTGCCACCACAGGTTACATTGAAGCTTCTGTGTCACGATCAAAATCCTCTTATGGGCTTGAGAGGAAGACCAGGTATCTTCCATTGGTGGCGCCTATTCAGGGTCTTGCGGATGAGCCTTGGGCAGTTACTTGGTATGAGATGATGAAACAAAATTCTTTTCCTCTTGGCACGGACAAGCCTTTGCTGCCTGCGATGGGACTGTGCAAGAAATGGTTGCAGACCCCTCTGTCAGCTGAAGCAGGTGCCATGTGGCTGCGTGCTCTTCTTACAGGATGTGGCGCCGGCGCCGACGAGGTCAACAAATATGGCACCCATAGCTGCAAGGCCACTACTTTGAGCTGGGCAGCTAACGCAGGTATGGACCGCGTCACGCGTGCGACTTTGGGTTATCACAGCAAAGGACGGGACGGTACTGAGTTGGTGTATGGCCGTGACAATGTAGCAGGGCCGTTGAGATTGCTGGAAGAACTCATTGGGAAAATTGCTTGCAAGTCATTCCTACCTGATGCTAGCAGGTCTGGGTATTTCGCCAAGGCCGTTACTGAAGAGCATGCTCATGAAGGCGAGCATGCTGAGGACGAGCAGGACGTGTCGAGCTCAGAAGACAGTGTTGACGAAGAGAGACCTGATCATGAGCATGAGGAGGCGGCCGTTGGTGAAGTTGTAGGCGAACTTGAACTGCCTTTGGAGGGATATTACGATTTCAGCTCGGAGATGCTCTTCCGCCACTCTGTTTCCAGAGTTATTCATCGCGTCGAGGATGAGGCTGGAGACAGATTCGCCTGCGGCAGATTTGGCAGCGATGCATACATCCAGTTGCCAAACATGCCAGAATGCCTTTACCCTTTGTGCAGACAGTGTTTCAAACGGCGGATGCCAGAAGGTTGAAAAGACTAGCGTCTTTGCGTTTACATGTCTGTTGTGGCCGCATGCATGTTGGGTTTCTTTCGAACTGTGCCTGCTATGAAGGTGGTTCGTATGCACGCCCGCGCGCCGCGCGCGCGCCGCGCGCGCGCGCGCGTCCGGTAGCGAGATGGATGTAGGTGCGGAGTTTGAGAAGAAGGGTCAGTCCCACTAAATGTGGGGGTTTCCCCGTTTTTCTTTTCGGAGATGTCACTTGCGGGTTTTTCATGGAGGTGTTGGTCTAGGATTGATGGACGTGGCGGCATTGTCACTTTCATTGTTGTGTCGAGTGTGTTATCTCGGCCCGAGCAACCTTGAGACTAGCATGACTGGTTTACTTGAAAGCGAGGCAGTGTTGACGAGCAGGCTGAAAGCAGCAGGCTTGGAAGATGATCTGGTTGATATCATCAAGCTAGGCGGGATTGTCAATTTGTCACGCTTGGCATTTGTCTCAGCATACACTCCTGGTGCAGCAGATGAAGGCCCTCTCATGGAAGCATTTGAGAGCCTCATCGGACGGCCGGGTACAGTAGCTGAAAAAGCGTGCTTCAGGCGAGTTTTTCACGAGGCCTATGCTGCTGCCACAAGTGAGATGAGACAACAGATGGAGAAGATTGAGGATCAAACTTCTCGGCGTTTGACTCAACCTGAACGAACGGAACGGTATCGAGCCCAGGTCGATAGGCTTCCTGGCGTCTCGATTACTGGAGCAAATGAACCTTCAGACTCGCTGGTGGATGTCACCACCAGCATGTATGAGGAGAATCGTCTCAGGTGGATAGACTGGTCCAGATGCACATCCCGCGAACAGGAGTTGCAAGGCGACCCAAAGAAGGATGTGTCGTTTTCTTTAGATTCTTCTACAGGCAGGCTGAAAGTCGAGCCCAAAAGAGATTGCGACCGAGCTGACACGAGCACTGAGGTGATGCTGATGTACGCGTTGACCCGGAGAGCCTTGGCGGTGGAACAGGCAAACATATGCAGTTATGCTAAGATGATGCTCTGGACTCAGCGCCTCATGAAGAGCAGGATGGATGAACCACCTCTCGGATATGCGCGACCTAGCATGAAGCAGTTGATGATGGCAGATCAGAAGTTGTTCATGGAACTTGCTGATGCCACCAGAGATGGCATCCAATCCACTCCAGAAGGACGCCCAGTTGAGCTCTTGATGGATCGAATCATGTACTCGTCCCAGGTCATGTGCGTGCTCAACCCTTTGCCTTTGATGTCGCATGGCAAATCAGAAAGCTCCGGGGCATCCGCCACCAAGCCGAAAGAGGGCCCGTATGTCCGCAGTGGCCCAAAGGGCCGCTCCAAAGGAAAGTCTGGCGGAAAGTTTGTGCGGATGCCTCAGCAGCTCATTGGGTGCAAGGCTTTCACAAATTCGGGAGAGCCGATCTGTTACAACTTCAATTTGAAGTCGTGCAGTGAGAAGGTGAGCAACAATCGATGCAGCCGGGGCTACCATGTGTGTGCTGCTCCGAAATGTGGAAAGAGTCACCCTGCAGTGACATGTTCCCTGAAGCCTGCTGGTCATGCTGACTCATGACTAGGCTGCGAGGGTGTGGCTGCGCAGCCACGTGCAGAGGAGGATGTGTCTCCTCAAGAGGAATGGTGTGGCCATGAGGCCACTCTCAGTGTCTCTCAAAGAGAGCATTGGGACAAGTCCGATGAAAGGACTGATGCATGTGAGCAGACCAATGACTCTGCGATGAATACATATGTGCCTGCAGCCAGCTTACCATGTCAAGCATTGGGCAAGCGGCAAAGGACGATGAGTCCAGTTTCATCAAACCTTGACACAGTAGGTGATCGCAATGGGTCTCATGAAGATAACCCATTGCCGAGCGCCTTAGTCTGCCATGAGGAACAGCTTTTTGTGATTGAAGCTTGTGCAGGTTCTGCCATTTTGTCTTCAGTGCTGCGGAAGCATGGGTTCCAGGTGTTGCCCATTGATTTTCATGCAAACAGACACCGCACTTATGTGCATGTTATTCACATGGATCTGAGACTTGCAAGCAGCTGGGAATGCTTGCGAAAGATCACAATGCAGAGACGCCTGTTCTTTTTCTTTGGAGCCCCGCCGTGTGGAACAGCGTCCAGAGCCCGGAATATACCTTTGTCCAGCCATGAAGGGAAGCATGGACCGCCTCCCCTCAGGTCAGAGTCACAACCATGTGGACTGCCAGGTCTGAGCGTCCTCAACCAGGCCAAGGTGAGCTCAGCGAATTCAATTTACAATGAGATGGCAAAATTTTGTCAGTGGCTGAACACTTTGAATATCCCGTGGGCTATTGAGAATCCGGCCAACAGCTATATGTGGCTGATGCCAATTTTTGTTCAACTTCGCAGACAATCAATGTTTGTGCAATTTCACTCTTGCATGCACGGTGGCGAGCGGAAGAAACACACTGGATTTATGACCAACATTGCAGAGATGGACGCGCTGACTAGTGTGTGCACAGCAGACCACGAGCATGCGCCGTGGGGTATGACGAGAAATGCAGACAAGTGGGAGTTTGCCACCGCCAAGGAAGCCGCGTACCCTCGGCTTCTGTGTGAGCGCATTGCAGGCGTACTGAAACTTGCTGCGGCGAACCGAGGTCTTGCAGTACATGGGCTGCGTCTGCCGGGCTCTGTGGCTGCAAGAGCTGCCACAGGCAGACAACCTAAGACCTCAAAATGGGGTCCTCTGGTCAGTGAGTATGCGTACACACAGACAATTACAGTGGATGGAGCCCTTTTGCCACAGCTGGACAGCAAACAATGTTTGGTTGCCACATTTATGAATGTTCCTCAAGGTTCCAAGCTGCTCAGAACATCCGTGAAAGGGGGAACCAGCCCTGAGCAGTCAGTGACCTTTGGAATTTTTCGAGCTCCGGAAGTATTTGTGCGACAGGCCATGACCATCTGCCACCCATTTGATTGTGTGGTGCCGGATTGCGTCCTCAGAGCAATGGCTTTCAATCTGATAGAAGGGCCTGTCGGTGTCATGAAACACAGACTTGCAACCTTGCAGCAGTGGGAGGTTTGGGCCAAGGAGTTGGAGAAGGCGGAGCTCGAAATACATGCAAATATGCCGGCTCACATGCAGACGGTGATGGAGGGCAAGAAGCTGCTGTTGTTGGAGAGGATTGCAAATTCCTTGAATTGGCCAGATGAAAAAATTCATGAACACCTCCGACAAGGTTTCCGGCTTGTAGGCCACCCCGAGGTGTCTGGGATTTTTGCAAAGACAACCGTTCCAGCGTCGATGACAGAGGATGAACTGAACAGTAAGATGCCTACAATGAGATGCGCGCTGTGGGAAAGGATAAGATGCTCGGCGGACCAGGAGCATGAATCTGCTATATGGGACATCACCATGGAAGAGTGCCACACCAAAGGCTGGCTGGATGGACCATACAACTGGGCAGAACTTGGGAACAAGTTTGGGCATCGGTGGCTTCCGTGCAAACGTTTTGGAGTATGGCAGCGAAATAAGTGGAGACCAATTGACGACTTCAGTGACAACGGAGTCAACAGTTGCTACAGCGTTGTGGAGAAGATCGATCTGAGAGCGCTGGATGAGACCGTTTGGGTGTGCGCTGCTTTCCTTCGTTCAACTCTGGCCACAGGGGCGGTTGACTTTGAGCTGTCGGATGGAACCAAGATCAGGGGCAAGGTGCACACCTTCTGGAGGAGAAAGACTGGTGCAGCAGATGTGAAGATCAAGACCGTGGACCTGGCCTCGGCCTACAAACAGCTGGGCTTGTCCGAAATAGACAGGAGCAAGGCCGTTGTTTCCCTGCGAAAGCCGGGCACGCGCGAGGTCTATGGTTTTGTATGCAACACTCTTCCTTTCGGAGCTACCAGTTCAGTGATATGCTTCAACAGGTTTGCAAGATTGACGCAAAGGATTCTGGTGGCGTTGAATGTGGTCAGTCTCAACTATTTCGATGATTACCCTGTTGTCGAGTTGAGTGCTTTGAGCCAGAACACTGAACGGACGGTGGCCGCTGCTCTAGACATGTTGGGTATATGGCGCGCAAGAGACAAGGACCTCCCTTTTTCGGGAAGTGCAGAATTGCTTGGAGTGTGCCTTGACGCATCTGACCCCGATGGAAAAGAGGTCAAGGTGTGGAACAAGAAGGGCAGAACTTTGAAGATGGTGGAAGCGTTGGATGACATCCTACTTTCTGGACGTGTCAGACCGCGGGAATTACCTTCAGTCTTTGGGAGAGTACAGTTTGCTGAGGCACAGATTTTGGGACGTCAAGGGCGTCTTGCGCTGGCAGATATTCGCAACCTTGAGAGACGCCAGGCCAGAGAGGTAGTTCTTGACGAAACTGAGGTAGAAGCGTTCAAGATGCTACGGCAGAGGATGCTGTCTGGAAGGCCTCGGACCATTGCTGTGTCAGCGCCACAGAGTCCGGTTTTGGTTTTCACTGACGGTGCTTTTGAGCCGTCTGGAGACGGAATGGTTGCTACAGTGGGAGGGGTGATTTTCACCCCAAATGGTAATGAATTCTTGGTACGTGCTTTTGGATGCAGACTTGGCCAGACTACCCTGGACAGGTGGTTGACAAATGGCCGGAAGCACTTAATTGGGCAGGTCGAGCTCTACGCTGTCGTTTTAGCTCGAGGCCACTGGAGTGCATGGATTGACAACGAGAGGACTGTCTTCTTTATCGACCATGCTGGAGTGGTTGGCGCATGTATATCTGGAAACTCGCGAGAAAAGACCTGGCGAGAACTTTTGGTACTATTGGAAGATTATGACTCCAAAAGCCCATGTGTGAGTTGGTTCACGCGTGTGCCCTCGCAAAGCAACATTAGTGACGGTCCGTCCCGAGGGTCTTGGGATCAGTTGAGCGCAAGCTTTGGTTTCACTCGAGATGCTATGAAATGCCCATTTACGCACGAGCGCTTGGAGGATATATGATGCCTCTAAGCAATGAGTTGAGATTGGGGGAATGCCTATGCTGAGAGGCATCATG